CACTATGACAGACACAAATGTTGCAGCATTCATGCCTAGTGTTTCTCAATACATTCCCGCAAAATAAAATCACTTTTGGGTTCTCTTTCATTCTATTATTGCAACAAATTAAACTCACATAGCTTATTTTAGTGGTATTTTGTTTGTATTGCCATTCATGTTAAAAAGCAGAAAATGGTCAGTCCATCAGTTCTGGATGATGTTGGATTTATCTGTGCCTCCTTGATCAGTGACGGCAATCCATCATGGTTATGGTACTGTTACAGAGACAAATTGATCTTCTTTGATATCATTAGATTTGAACATGATGTCGTTGGTTTGAATGGTCTCCGATGAGATTACACACTAAACCGCTAAATTCTACATCACTGACGAGCATAAACCCCCTCTCATGTGAGTAAGAGGGGGCTCAATACACTGAATTTTGTACAATAATTACGGGTGGTAGTGTGAACAACATAACATGAGTTTAATGCCTTGCCCTGTCTGTATCAAGAATGTATGTATAATGCCATGTATCAAAACTCTATATAATGCCTTGCCCTGTCTGTATCAAGAATGTATGTATAATGCCATGTATCAAGACTCTATATAATGCCTTGCCCCGACTGTTTCAAGAATGTATGTAAAATGCCATGTATCAAAACTCTATAAATGCCCTGTCCTGTCTGTATTAAGACTGTATAATGCCCTGTCCTGTCTGTATCAAGTTGAATAATGCCCTGTCCTGTCTGTATTAAGATGTATAATGCCCTGTCCTGTCTGTATTAAGATGTATAATGCCCTGCCCTGTCTGTATCAAGACTGTATAATGCCCTGTCATGTCTGTATCAAGACTGTATAATGCCCTGTCCTGTCTGTATAAAGACTGTATAATGCCCTGTCCTGTCTGTATTAAGACTGTATAATGCCCTGCCCTGTCTGTATCAAGACTGTATAATGCCCGGTCCTGTCTGTATTAAGACTGTATAATGCCCTGTCCTGTCTGTATCAAGACTGTACAATGCCCTGTCCTGTCTGTATCAAGACTATATAATGCCCTGCCCTGTCTGTTTTAAGATGTATAATGCCCTGTCCGTATTAAGATGTATAATGCCCTGTCCTGTCTGTATCAAGACTGTATAATGCCCTGCCTTGTCTGTATCAAGACTGTATAATGCCCTGTCATGTCTGTATCAAGACTGTATAATGCCCTGTCCTGTCTGTATAAAGACTGTATAATGCCCTGTCCTGTCTGTATTAAGACTGTATAATGCCCTGCCCTGTCTGTATCAAGACTGTATAATGCCCGGTCCTGTCTGTATTAAGACTGTATAATGCCCTGTCCTGTCTGTATCAAGACTGTATAATGCCCTGTCCTGTCTGTATCAAGACTATATAATGCCCTGCCCTGTCTGTTTTAAGATGTATAATGCCCTGTCCTGTCTGTATTAAGATGTATAATGCCCTGTCCTGTCTGTATCAAGACTGTATAATGCCCTGTCCTGTCTGTATCAAGATGTATAATGCCCTGTCCTGTCTGTATCAAGACTGTATAAGGCATTATACAGTCTTGATACAGATCAAGACTGTATAATGCCCTGTCCTGTCTGTATCAAGACTGTATAATGCCCTGTTCTGTCTGTATTAAGATGTATAATGCCCGGTCCTGTCTGTATCAAGACTGTATAATGCCCTGTCCTGTCTGTATCAAGACTGTATAATGCCCTGCCCTGTCTGTATCAAGACTGTATAATGCCCTGTCCTGTCTGTATTAAGATGTATAATGCCCTGTCCTGTCTGTATCAAGACTGTATAATGCCCTGTCCTGTCTGTATCAAGACTATACAATGCCCTGTCCTGTCTGTATTAAGATGTATAATGCCCTGTCCTGTCTGTATTAAGACTGTATAATGCCCTGTCCTGTCTGTATCAAGACTGTATAATGCCCTGTCCTGTCTGTATCAAGACTGTATAATGCCCTGTCCTGTCTGTATCAAGACTGTACAATGCCCTGTCCTGTATGTATCAAGACTGTATAATGCCCTGCCCTGTCTGTATCAAGACTGTATAATGCCCTGCCCTGTCTGTTTTAAGATGTATAATGCCCTGTCCTGTCTGTATCAAGACTGTAAAATGCCCTGTCCTGTCTGTATCAAGACTGTATAATGCCCTGTCCTGTCTGTATCAAGACTGTATAATGCCCTGTCTTGTCTGTATTAAGACTGTATAATGCCCTGCCCTGTCTGTATCAAGACTGTATAATGCCCTGTCCTGTCTGTATTAAGATGTATTATGCCCTGTCCTGTCTGTATCAAGACTGTATAATGCCCTGTGCTGTCTGTATCAAGACTGTATAATGCCCTGTCCTGTCTGTATCAAGACTATACAATGCCCGGTCCTGTCTGTATTAAGATGTATAATGCCCTGTCCTGTCTGTATTAAGACTGTACAATGCCCTGTCCTGTCTGTATCAAGACTGTATAATGCCCTGTCCTGTCTGTATCAAGAATCTCTATCATGCCATGTCCAGGCTACACCAAGAATTGTAGTGCCTCAGACCATTGGCCCATCCTTGGCTAACTGTTGTGTACAACTACCATGTCCTGTGTCCATGGTGACAGTCTCCTTGAAGAAAACCATAGGCCACCAAATAAAGTTAACGTTTTAATATCTAGTTTCCCGAACTTAATGAGAACAACTTCCAGCTAGTGTTCATAGAATTGATACAGTGTCAAGCCCTATGAGGCTTCAGTTGGCAGAAGGCAAGCCATAGCAGTGGCACAAGACAGGGTCTAACCAATCACACTGGTTGATTGTCGGGGACACAGGAAGTTGGCCACAGTACCAGTTTGTTTTCAAACAGAACAATTAACCCACTTTGATTTGGGGAATTAGATAATGTTGCTCTCATTTCCTGCAGTATGGTCTGCAAATACTAAAAGAAGAATGCTAAAAGGCTCAATTATTCCCTGTAACCAAACCTGGTACAAGGTGTCACCACCTGGGATTGACCTTTTGTTGGTGGCAATTACTGCTGCAACTTGAACAGGTTGTGATCACTGTGACAACACATCATCCTTACAAACAATTTCTGATTGGCCAAAAATAACTTCTATTTTAGTATGATGTCCTTGCCAAGGCCTGGGTGTGTGAAAAGTTTTTATCCCCCGCCCAAACAAAGCTGGGGGAGGATATAGAAACGGGCTCCGTCTGTCTGTCACATTTCGTTCCCGGAGTAGAACTCGGAAACCATAAGCGATAACTTTACAGAACTGGTACACACATTCACCATATGATGTAGATGTGCTGTTTGCTATTAAGGTGTCCCCTGAATTTTTAATATATTTCATATAAATTTTTGAAATTTTGACTTAGTCTCTGAACTGAGTGGAAGCAGTGGGTTTCATTTATGGAGCTGAATTCGAAAATTCTCAGAAATATCTTTATGAAATTTTGTACACACATTCACCATATAGTGTAAATGTGCCTTTGGCTATTTATAATACCCCTGAATTTTTCATTTATTTTATAGGAATTTTAAAAATTTGAGACTTAGTCCCTGAAGTGAATGAAAGCAGTGGCTGAAACAATACATAATTTCTAAATGAGTGGGTTGTCCAGTGCTCAAGGATACAAAATATTCTTTGCTTTCACATACTGGAAGATGATTATAACCTTTGTTTATCATAAGAGTCTTACTAAAGCAGATATTTGTATAAAGATTTATGGAGATGTTATACAGCATCTCTTCATACCATATTATCTACAGATTGGACAATGTGTGCGGCGTATAGATGACCTTGTCTTCTTGTTGATCTGTTGATGCATTCTGAATGGTCCAGGGGTTTGCTTGTAGGTAGAGTGGGTCACTGCCATTGGGGCCCAGTCATCAAGGCACTGGAAGTCACTGTGCAGAGTTCTTTCACAGATTTATACTGACTGCGATTCTTGATTTGGTAGAACTAGAGTCATGCACATGGTGTCGACAAAGAGGAAAAACATCCATAACACATTTATGGATTTATCTTGACCAATCTAGTAAGGGTGCACCGTATTACCAGTATATCTGTAAATTGAGGTTCGTCCTTTCCTAGTTACATATCACAATATCATTTTTTAATATTCAGTATTTCGGATGATTTGAAATAGCAATCATGTGTTTAATACTCCCGCATCAAGCAGACAGCCATGATATAACTGAAATACTCCCACAACAAGCAGACAGCCATGATATAACTGAAATACTCCCACATCAAGCTGACAAGCCATGATATAACTGAAATACTCCTACATCAAGCAGACAGCTTTGATATAACAGAAATACTACCACATCAAACTGACAGCCATGATTTAACTGAAATACTCCCACATCAAGCTGACAAGCCATGATATAACTGAAATACTCCCACATTAAGCAGACAGCTTTGATATAACTGAAATACTCCCACATCAAGCAGACAGCCATGATATAACTGAAATACATCAGTAGTATATTGTAAGATAGTACTCCAGTGCCATGTAGATGCTGTTTGGCATATTGTACGGTAGAAAACTTGACAAATACAGATGGTTTGCAAATTACAACCTTATCAAATACACAGGGAAACAAAACCATATGCTCTCATGATTAATTGTTACCGTACTTGTCTATTTATTCTCAAGACATCATTAAAATTCTGTTTATTCTTTAGGGCATTACCTTCCGCTTAAACTGGAATACGTCATTTCATGTCAGCAGCAAATGATTTCCTCCAAATCCTGCATTGTTATTGGTAAATAAAATCACATTCAAATTTGTCTCAGTTATATTTATGTTAGTTCGGCACCAAAATCTGAATGTACAACACAAGGTCTCATCAGTGGATCAATGCTCATTATGTCAATCACTGGATTGTCTGGTCCAGACTCGATTATTTACAGACTGCTGTCATATAGCTGGAATATTGCTGAGTGCAGTGTTAAACAGCAAACAAACAAACAAACAAATGCAAGATTAACAAATCACATCTTGTTTTCAGGAGAAAAACCATATCGATGTAACCAAGATGGGTGCGACCGAGCATTTGCCCAATTGTCCAACCTGCAGCATCATCTACGAAACCATGACGACCAGGTGAAGAAAGCGACCAACAAGCAGTTCAAATGTGTCATCTGCCATCGCAGCTACACCAATGAGAGCAGCCTCAAGTCACACACACTCAAGGTGATTGGTCGGTCCTAAACATGTAACAGCCATTGGGGTTTGGTACTGGGTCTTTTTAAAACTGCTTGTTTTTTGCAACTTTTATCAAAACTGAAGAAGAAGGAGAGAGTATTTTATCTTTTACTTATACATTGTATTTAAGATAGGTTGTCAATCTATAAATGGATACTTGTACGAAGATAACCCGACAGTGTTTGAGGTAGACTAACTGCAGGTTAGATACCTGTTATTTTAATTAGAAAGCAAGTGCTTTAGACAAGAAGAAAGCTTTTAAAATGGTACTGTTGTGGAATGCTTAATACTACATGGGTAAATAGTCCAAAACTATCTCAGAACATCCGAAACGGGGGTCACAAGTAGTGAAAACAAATATTACTAAAGTTCAAGATTAATCACTTATTGACTGATTTAAAAAAATGGTTAAAAAAATACATATTTTGTTTTTTCAAAGATGTGATCAAATAACCCTCCTTAGATAAATAGTAAATTTCACAGAAACCTGTTGCATATATTTTGTAAGTATGGTTTGGGTTTGGTTTGGTTTGTTGTTTAACGCCGCACTCATCAATATTCCAGCTATATGACGGCAGTCTGTAAATAATCAAGTCTGGACCAGACAATCCCGTGATTAATATCATGATCATGCATCGATCCACACAATTTGGATCAATGACATGCATCAACAAAGTCAGCGAGCCTGACCACTCGATCCCATTAGTAGCCTCTTATGACAAGCATAGTCGCCTTTTACAGCCAGCATGGCTTGCTGAAGATCTCTCCAACCCGGTATAAGTATGGACACGTCCCTCCTGCAGATACAGACACTGAAGCATGGACAGACATGATAAGGAAACAGGCGTAATGAGAGTTGCCATGAGACGTATCAGATGTTATAGATTCTTGGTTTCTGTGTTACAGCAGCATCTGCAATTAAGTTCCGGGTTTCAAAATGTTTACATGGGATAACTTTCTTCTAAATTCTTGTGATTCCACCCCTTAATAGTTGTTTCCAATCCTAAAGTTGTAACAACCAACAAATCACCTCAAGAGGACTTGAAAACTCCATAAAAACATACAAATAGGTGGTTGGTGCATGGATTGGTGGGGACCTATTCTAGCCCGGAATCCACACAGTGAGATAAGCATGGGTGGGCGGGGACCTATTCTAGCCCGGAATCCACACAGTGAGATAAGCATGGGTGGGCGGGGACCTATTCTAACCCGGAATCCCCACAGAGAGATAAGCATGGGTTGGTGGGGACCTATTCTAACCTGGAATCCCCACAGTGAGATAAGCATGGATTGGTGGGGACCTATTCTAACCCGGAATACACACAGTGAGATAAGCATGGGTTGGCGGGGACCTATTCTAACCCGGAATCCCGACAGAGAGATAAGCATGGGTTGGTGGGGACCTATTCTAACCTGGAATCCCCACAGTGAGATAAGCATGGATTGGTGGGGACCTATTCTAACCCGGAATACACACAGTGAGATAAGCATGGATTGGTGGGGACCTATTCTAACCTGGAATCCCCACAGTGAGATAAGCATGGATTGGTGGGGACCTATTCTAGCCCGGAATACACACAGTGAGATAAGCATGGATTGGTGGGGACCTATTCTAACCTGGAATCCCCACAGTGAGATAAGCATGGATTGGTGGGGACCTATTCTAACCTGGAATACACACAGAGAGATAAGCATGGATTGGTGGGGACCTATTCTAACCCGGAATCCCCACAGAGAGATAAGCATGGGTTGGTGGGGACCTATTCTAACCCGGAATACACACGGTGAGATAAGCATGGATTGGTGGGGACCTATTCTAAAAAACGGAATCCCCACAGAGAGATAAGCATGGATTGGTGGGGACCTATTCTAACCCGGAATACACACAGAGAGATAAGCATGGATTGATGAGGACCTATTCTAACCCGGAATACACACAGTGAGATAAGCATGGATTGGTGGGGACCTATTCTAACCCGGAATACACACACAGAGATAAGCATGGATTGGTGGGGACCTATTCTAACCTGGAATCCACACACAGAGATAAGCATGGATTGGTGGGGACCTATTCTAACCCGGAATCCCCACAGAGAGATAAGCATTGATTGGTGGGGACCTATTCTAACCCGGAATACACACAGTGAGATAAGCATGGATTGGTGGGGACCTATTCTAACCCAGAATCCCCACAGAGAGATAAGCATGGATTGGTGGGGACCTATTCTAACCCGGAATCCCCACAGAGAGATAAGCATGGATTGGTGGGGACCTATTCTAACCCGGAATCCCCACAGAGAGATAAGCATGGATTGGTGGGGACCTATTCTAACCCAGAATACGCACAGAGAGATAAGCATGGATTGGTGGGGACCTATTCTAACCCGGAATCCCCACAGAGAGATAAGCATGGATTGGTGGGGACCTATTCTAACCCGGAATCCCCACAGAGAGATAAGCATGGATTGGTGGGGACCTATTCTAACCCGGAATCCCCACAGAGAGATAAGCATTGATTGGTGGGGACCTATTCTAACCCGGAATCCCCACAGTGAGATAAGCATGGATTGGTGGGGACCTATTCTAACCCAGAATCCCCACAGAGAGATAAGCATGGATTGGTGGGGACCTATTCTAACCCGGAATCCCCACAGAGAGATAAGCATGGATTGGTGGGGACCTATTCTAACCCGGAATCCCCACAGAGATAAGCATGGGTTGGTGGGGACCTATTCTAACCCGGAATACACACAGTGAGATAAGCATGGGTTGGTGGGGACCTATTCTAACCCAGAATACACACAGAGAGATAAGCATGGATTGGTGGGGACCTATTCTAACCCGGAATACACACAGTGAGATAAGCATGGATTGGTGGGGACCTATTCTAACCCGGAATCCCCACAGAGAGATAAGCATGGGTTGGTGGGGACCTATTCTAACCTGGAATACACACAGTGAGATAAGCATGGATTGGTGGGGACCTATTCTAACCCGGAATACACACAGTGAGATAAACATGGGTTGGTGGGGACCTATTCTAACCCAGAATCCCCACAGTGAGATAAGCATGGGTTGGTGGGGACCTATTCTAACCTGGAATCCCCACAGTGAGATAAGCATGGGTTGGTGGGGACCTATTCTAACCTGGAATACACACAGAGAGATAAGCATGGGTTGGTGGGGACCTATTCTAACCTGGAATACACACAGTGAGATAAGCATGGGTTGGTGGGGACCTATTCTAACCCGGAATACACACAGAGAGATAAGCATGGGTTGGTGGGGACCTATTCTAACCTGGAATACACAAAGAGAGATAAGCATGGGTTGGTGGGGATCGATGGGTAACAAACGAACCAACCAACAAACGAACGAATGGACGAACGAACGGTTTCCAGGATTCACACCAAAAATCTGTTGTAGTGTCTGGACAAAAAGAGAGGTATTTCTGCCACATTTCCGTCTAGTCAATGCAATGTCAGCATGGGAAGCACACTGAAAGCACTGTTTTCATGGCAACTTGCCACAGGTTCAACATATTGTAATGGTGTATTCAGAGTAATTAGTGCCTTCGCCCAGTAGCAGCTTCCCTCAGAGAATGTTTGTTGAAATAACAAATTAAATAGTTTTTAGTTCAGGCACATTTAGGGTACAATATGTTAAATGCAAGAATACAGATACCAAGGCTATGGTAAAATATGGATGGAGGGATGGCTTAGAATGGATGAACCGATGGGTCAGTATATTCTATGAGCCCCAGAAGAATGGATGGAGAGGGGGTGGATGGGTATATTCTATGAGCCCCAGAAGAATGGATGGAGAGGGGGTGGATGGGTATATTCTATGAGCCCCAGAAGAATGGATGGAGAGGGGGTGGATGGGTATATTCTATGAGCCCCAGAAGAATGGATGGAGAGGGGGTGGATGGGTATATTCTATGAGCCCCAGAAGAATGGATAGAGAGGGGGTGGATGGGTATATTCTATGAGCCCCAGAAGAATGGATGGAGAGGGGGTGGATGGGTATATTCTATGAGCCCCAGAAGAATGGATGGAGAGGGGGTGGATGGGTATATTCTATGAGCCCCAGAAGAATGGATGGAGAGGGGGTGGATGGGTATATTCTATGAGCCCCAGAAGAATGGATGGAGAGGGGGTGGATGGGTATATTCTATGAGCCCCAGAAGAATGGATGGAGAGGGGGTGGATGGGTATATTCTATGAGCCCCAGAAGAATGGATGGAGAGGGGGTGGATTGGTATATTCTATGAGCCCCAGAAGAATGGATGGAGAGGGGGTGGATGGGTATATTCTATGAGCCCCAGAAGAATGGATGGAGAGGGGGTGGATGGGTATATTCTATGAGCCCCAGAAGAATAGATGGAGAGGGGGTGGATGGGTATATTCTATGAGCCCCAGAAGAATGGATGGAGAGGGGGTGGATGGGTATATTCTATGAGCCCCAGAAGAATGGATGGAGAGGGGGTGGATGGGTATATTCTATTAGCCCCAGAAGAATGGATGGAGAGGGGGTGGATGGGTATATTCTATGAGCCCCAGAAGAATGGATGGAGAGGGGGTGGATGGGTATATTCTATGAGCCCCAGAAGAACGGATGGAGAGGGGGTGGATGGGTATATTCTATGAGCCCCAGAAGAATGGATGGAGAGGGGGTGGATTGGTATATTCTATGAGCCCCAGAAGAATGGATGGAGAGGGGGTGGATGGGTATATTCTATGAGCCCCAGAAGAATGGATTGAGAGAGGGTGGATGGGTATATTCTATGAGCTCCAGAAGAATGGATGAAGAGGGGTGGATGGGTATATTCTATGAGCCCCAGAAGAATGGATGGAGAGGGGGTGTATGGGTATATTCTATGAGCCCCAGAAGAATGGATGGAGAGGGGGTGGATGGGTATATTCTATGAGCCCCAGAAGAATGGATGGAGAGGGGGTGGGTGGGTATATTCTATGAGCCCCAGAAGA